ATCGCTTAAAATGTAAAAGGTTCCAAATATCTCTGAGTCCACTCAACTATATTTTCTTACAACACATGGTTCCACTAATGCGGTTCCTTTCATAGTATCTCATCAGCCAGAAATATCTCCAAGGGTATGAGCCATCTGAAACCTTTCAACTAGGCTCTACGTAACAACCCAATTTTCATTAATTAATTATTTATGTTAATTAATTGATTTATTGAAATTATTGGATGATTATTTAAAGGAATTGGTAGATATTTTGAGAGAAGAAATATATTGGAGAGAAATAGAAGGGAAAGATATATAAGGAAAAGTGGAAGGAAAAGAAAATGATAGTAACATAAGAGAAAGAGAAGAGGAAGAAAGAGGAAGAAGGGAAAAGAGAAGGAAAAGAAGGAAAAGCTTGGAAAGCTCAAGAACAACTTCTAGCTTTCGATTTAATCAAGGTAAGGGTGTGAAATATCATTATCTTATCAATGTTTATGATTATGTATGTGTGTGTTTGGATTTGTTAGAGGTTTCCCATCTTTTTCCATTCTAGGGCAGAAATGGATTTAATCAATAGAGTCGATGTTTGAACGGTTAAAATCTGGAATAAATGGTGTAGATTATTCGAGGAATGTTAGGCTAAGACTACTGGAATTTGTTGGAATTGAATCGGTTGATTTTGTGATGATTTGAGGATTTTGGATAGTTGGGGTTTTGAACATCGCAGACGTTCGCTAGCACCTTCGCTAGGCGAGCAGGTCGCGAGTGTTCGCTGTAGCGAGCTAGTAGCGAGTGGTCCCAGACTTGGACAGAATGTAATTAGCCCTCTTCGCTGGTAGCGAGGGGTTCGCTAGGAGAAGCCCCAGCGAGTAGGTAGCGAAGCCTTACAGTAGCTTATGTTTGCCTTCGCAAGCTTGTTCGCTAGGCGAATAGGTAGCGAGTGTTCGCTAGGAACTCGCTAGGCGAGCAAGCTAGCGAGTGTGACAGCATTTTCATTTCCTTGTGTTTCCATCCAATGTTTATTGTTTGGTTCGATTGTGTTCAATCCTTATCGAAAATGAATATTTTGTGTACTGTTGTGATATGTTATGCTGTGGGTAGCCGTATAACGTGAATCCTAGATTGTGGAATCGATTTGTGAATATGTGTGTATTGCTTGATAAATGTGGTGATGATGTTGAAAGTATGAATACTTTGATTAATATGAAATATGTGTTGTATGTGCAATCATGATATAATTCTTGTGTGATGAATTATTTGATAATGCATGAGATTAAGATGCGAGAACGGTCTTAAGTGCATGTGATTGTTTTATGAAAATATGTGTATGTGCAAAACTCTTACTCACTGGGGTAGAATGACAAGATGTTGTTCCTAGTGGAGTAATCACTGGGGTAGAATGACAAGATGTTGTTCCTAGTGGAGTAATTGTCGGGGTAGAACGACCAAGATGTTGTTCCTGGTGTGGTATAAGCGATGTATCCATAATTCTAAATGGGCGCTGATGAAAATTGATGAGTTTTATGTGAGTCGCATGGCATAAATAATTGTTGTATGAGATATGCATATGTGTTTGAATTGTTGAATGGCGGGTTGTGAATGTGTAATTGTGAATGATATTGACTGAGGAATTAATGAATAAACATGATTGTATATGTTTATAGGAATTGTGGTGAATTAAACATAATGTGTATGTTTAGGTGAATCGATTGAAATTGTGGATGTATGTATGAGGAAATATGCTTGGTGATTATCCATATATTTGTATATACATTGTGACGTATATGGATGACTTGTGGTGAGAATGATGATTATGTGTATTCTAAGATTGTAGATATATATAATTATATGCATTGATTATTATGATAATATTTCTCACCCTTCTGCTGGAATGATGTCCTATATGGCATCGTGCAGGTATCAAGAGTAGAGCTGCTTGTTGTTACGAAGTCACTATTGGTGTAGATGTTTAGTAATTTAATTATGTTGGGTCGAGTCATGCTCTGGTCATGTAACACTGGGACCGTTGGTTTATGTTTTAGAGATACTTTATGTATTCTATGTTATGTTTTTATATTCATTAGAATCTTATGATGTTGGCCTTGGTGCCTAAGTAATGTTGAAGTATGTGATGAGTCTGAATATTCTGTTAAGAGAATTATGTTATAAAATGAATTCGCTGCTACATGCAAAGTGAAATTTTGAGAAGCATGATTATTTATTATAAGTGTTAATGAGCATGACAGGTGGTTTTGATGTTTTGAAAGTTATGTGTGACGCCCTTTTGTGAATGCATGAAAATTTACTCTGATTATTCGTATATTTTCCGTGGGGTTTTGAAGGGTGTTACACTCTACATGTCAGATAATCCTTAACCTCAGCATCGCTCAAAACTCGTTCGTAAGAATCCTTGTAAGTCTTGATGAAATTTTGGACTTCTTCCCTATTCAAAGCAACGATTTCCATCTCTAGGGTAATCAAAACATGGTAGGATGAAGTTGTTACAACTTCGGATGATGCAAGTATAAAGTTGATTGCACGATCATCTCCCACATTTTCATCAGAAAAAGGGTGTCGAAGGAAGACTTATTAAGAAAAGGTCCCCTACCTAGAGAACCACTAGAATCCTCTCTGATTCTTAATCATCAAACATGGATATAACGATTGGAATCAATTGTCATTAATGATTTGATGAGAATGTGAACTAGAGGACGTTTTTGCTCCAACTAAAGAAGAATGATCACTACTCCCAAAATCACTAAATAAACTTATGGGATGGACATTCATATTGGCCATGGTAAAGTAAATACTGAAAGTTATGAAACAAGCTCAAGGTATGAAGAGTACCTGGAAGGAGTAAAGTCTGATGAAAAATGTGAAGGTTAAATGCGAAATGGAAAACTTTGTTCTAGAAAAGTCAAATACTTAAAGAAAATGCTCATAATAAGATAAGGAATTACTCTTGCAAATAGAAACTAACTCTCAAGAATGGAGAAAGTTCTCCCAAAAGTATAGAGGCTGATAAATAGAGGAGAGCGGGCAACTGGTATGATCAATGGGAAACAAGAAGTTACATATCAATGACCCGATTTCACCTAGGAAACAAAAACGAAATCATGTGCACTTGAATGCACTAGGGGAAAATAATATACCCTAATCTGCGAACCTAGAGGAGAACATTTAATGTGCTTGTTTTCCATTACTTTTTGTAAATGTTCCACGACCTTCTTGCCTCTCGCTATGGTCAAACATGATCGCTAGGGGCCGACCACGACTTTGAAAGACTTCTTGACTAGTATACACCTGGCAAGTCTTAAGGGAAATTGTTATGGACCAATCAAAGACCCTATAAGAAGGCCCAACTGCACATAGCCCAATAGAGAATGATCAAACATATATAATCAACACACGTGAGAGTCAAGTTACACTTTTCTAATCTTCATTTTTCACTATATTTATCTTAGACTTTGTAACTGATATGAATGTGCTAAACTTGTAGATTCACCCAACGTCATCGTACTAGAGATCATCATCATCGATTCTAAAATTCTACATCATCAATCAACACCAATTTTGATTCTATAACAGAACAACATCAAATATGATTTTGTTTTTTTAACGTATATTTAAATATGTATTAGATATAAAAATTAGAAGGTAAAATAGATAAAAAAATGTTGGTAAAAAATGTAAAAAGAAAATGCAATGTATATTTTAGTGTATGTTAGTATTATCAAATTGAATTCTTTAATTATATATTATCTTAATCATTTTCAATTTAAAAGATTTACTTTATAATTTGAAAATAACATTATGGTTGGTTGATATTGCAATACTACTTATAATTGAATTTTCTAAAAAAAGTGGAATGAGCATAGTAGTAGTTGATGAAAGCAAAAGCAAGGTTATGAGTTCCGAAATAATAATAACAAAAAAGCAGAAACTTCATTGTGTCGTTCACACTCACCAACTTTTGAAAAAATCCACTAGGTAGTAAGTGTCTCTATGGGCTGTACAATGTGGAGTGGAGGGGAGAGGTCTACATCCTCACCAACTTTTGATTCTTCAACAATTAAAGACACACAATTTAAAAGTGGTGTAGAAAGTCACTCTTATTATTAAAGAGTCATTTTTTTTGAATTTATTTAATATATAAATATTAATAATTATTTATATTAATATATAAACATAAATAAATATTACTGAAAAAAATAAACTTTAAACTAATCCTTTATATAGTTGAGTTACCCAATTCATCCTATTAAATAAATAAATTTATTTTAATTTACAACCTACCTTGCTTAAACAATATATTTTCAACACTAAGTCAAAACTATTATTACAACCACTCATCCTATCTCATCATTATAGGACAGAAATTTCAATTTCCTCTGTTATTCATCATCAAATTTAGGAGAACTACGTGTATTTTACTAAATTTAAATTTTGTTTTCAATATAATTAAATTTCAATTTAGCCCATATTTTCTAAATAACATCCTAAATTATAAAATATTTTACACGAAATAAAAATTTTAATTATCACTTTTTATAAATTATATAATTTTGTAGTAATGTTTCTCATAATTATAAAATAGAGAGAAATTAAAAAAATTTAAAGAATAAATTATAATAAATATATAAAATTATATTAGAGAAAATATTATTAATTTAAGATAATTTTTTTTTAATAAAGTAACTTATAATATAAGACAGAGTATCATTTTATTTTAAAAAGAAAAATATTAAAGACACCTATTATTTTAAAATATTTTTTAGACTACTAAGTACAAAAGTGATAGCTTAATTGAAGATATACTTTTTAAATCTTTCTTAAAATATAATTTTTTTATAAAAATAAAATAAAAGTGATATAATCCTTTTATTTTATATAGAAAAAAATATACGTTTGGTTACACATAAACCCAATTCTCACCAACTCCCATTTTTTTTCTTTTAACATAAATTCAAGATAAACGTCTCTCCAACCTTCTCTGTTCAAGCACACAATTCATCACAATGACTCTGTTTCTCACAGTTCCTCTTTCACTACTCACCCTTTTCATCTTCTACACACTCTTCCAACGCCTCAGATTCAAGCTTCCACCCGGTCCACGTCCCTGGCCGGTCGTCGGAAACCTTTACGACATAAAACCGGTCCGGTTCCGGTGTTTCGCGGAATGGGCCCAATTCTACGGGCCGATAATATCGGTTTGGTTCGGTTCGACTCTTAATGTGGTTGTTTCGAATACGGAATTGGCAAAAGAGGTTTTGAAAGAGAATGATCAGCAGTTGGCGGACCGGCACAGAAGTCGGTCCGCGGCAAAGTTTAGTAGAGATGGGAAGGATTTGATTTGGGCGGATTATGGACCTCATTATGTGAAGGTGAGGAAGGTTTGTACTTTGGAGCTTTTTTCACCAAAGAGAATTGAAGCTTTGAGGCCTATTAGAGAAGATGAAGTTACTGCTATGGTTGAATCTATTTTCAATGATTCTACCAATCCTGGTACGTTTCTCTTTTCATTTTGGAATATTTTGAATGAGCTGACAACCAGGGATATCTTCCCGCTTAATAAGAGGTTTTGGATTCGAGCCCAGTTTTATTTGAATGAGCTTGTAAGAGATCTCTTCTGGTTTAACCAGGATCACAGAGATTCTGTGTTCGAATTCAGTCATAGACACACAACACTATAAAATTAATTCTCTTAGAGTTTTGCAAATATGCTTAGAATCATATCTGATTTTTTTTACTCTGCTAATTAACATGCAACAATTTTGTAGATAAATGTAAATTTGTATAATGAATTTTTTTTTTCTGCAGAAAATTTGGGGAAAGCTATATTGATGAGGAAGTATATAGGGGCAGTTGCATTCAACAACATCACAAGGCTGGCATTTGGGAAAAGATTTGTGAACGCAGAAGGTGTAATGGATGAGCAAGGAGTAGAATTCAAGGCTATAGTGGCAAATGGGTTAAAGCTAGGAGCATCTCTAGCTATGGCAGAGCACATCCCTTGGTTGCGCTGGATGTTCCCACTAGAAGAGGAAGCTTTTGCCAAGCACGGTGCTCGCCGAGACCGACTTACTCGAGCCATCATGGATGAGCATACACAGGCACGCCAGAAATCCGGCGGTGCTAAGCAACATTTTGTAGATGCTCTTCTCACTTTGCAAGATAAATATGATCTTAGTGAAGACACCATCATTGGTCTCCTTTGGGTATGTTTTTTGAAGTTGTTAGCTTTTTTACAGTGTTAAACAACTCTTTCAGTTTATTTTATCTTCACATAGTTCAGATTTATAAGTTAGTATCGTTAGATCAAAATCGAACGACTCAGATGCATGTTGTTGTGAGTTTAATTTAGATCTCTCTGTTTCACCAACTTAAAGCATAGCTCATGTTTTTTTCTTTATTTGATAGGACATGATAACAGCTGGGATGGACACAACTGCAATATCAGTTGAATGGGCCATGGCTGAGTTGATAAAGAATCCAAGAGTGCAACAGAAGGCACAAGAGGAGCTAGACAAGGTCATTGGTTTTGAAAGGGTCATGACAGAAACTGACTTCTCAAGCCTCCCTTATCTACAAAGTGTAGCCAAGGAAGCTCTAAGGCTGCACCCTCCAACACCATTAATGCTCCCACATCGCGCTAATGCAAATGTTAAAATTGGTGGCTATGATATTCCCAAGGGGTCCAATGTCCATGTCAATGTATGGGCGGTAGCTCGTGACCCGGCTGTATGGAAAAACCCATTGGAGTTTAGGCCCGAGAGGTTTCTTGAAGAGGATGTTGACATGAAGGGCCATGATTTTAGGCTACTTCCATTTGGAGCAGGCCGTCGGGTATGCCCGGGTGCACAACTTGGAATCAATATGGTGACATCCATGTTGGGTCATCTATTGCATCATTTCTGTTGGGCACCACCTGAGGGAGTGAACCCTGAGGAGATTGATATGGCAGAGAACCCTGGAATGGTGACATATATGAGGACTCCATTACAGGTTGTGGCTTCTCCTAGGCTTCCCTCAGACTTATACAAACATGTGCCAGCTGATATCTAATCTTTTTTTTTTTTTTTCATACTGCATTGTTGCTGTTTTTCGAACTGTTGAGTAAATTTTCTCGTGGGATTTATTTCTACCATTGCATCATATGTAACTATGATTGAAATACAATGTAAGAAACTATGGAAGACTCATGACAAATTTGACTTTGTCCCCTTCAGATTCTGGATTGATGTTTCTGTAGTGTATGCATAATTTTATCAGATTCTACTATATGATATTGACTATAGATTAATATCTAATCATTGATAAAATATGAAAGGCAAGTTACATTATTACATATATGCATCTCAATTTGTCCGTATGTGTATTTATATTGTAATCATTTACATCTATACAAATTATGCACAGAATACGTTCACATAACAACAAGTTTTTCATAACAGTAACGGCAGCATCACTCCACTTACATCAATAAATATAAAGATGGCCAATTCATTCAGGAGTGATCTTGTTCCATCCAGTTCATATAAAACCTTCCTCCTTGTTTTTTATCTACCTCAACTCTTAACCTTTCTTCTTTGACTCCCCTGCTTACCTTCAGAAGCAAGTCGAACTTGATATGGTCTTCAATGACCTGCATTTTAGCAGAAAAATGTCGACCGAGTAAGGTCGATACATCAAAAAGAATATAAACATCTCTGTTGAAGAAAGAGAAGTAAGGAAAGAAAGGGGCAGGAGTATGCAACCACAAGAGATTCAACCAAATCTCCAGTACAGAGGCCAGCAATTAATCAAAGTTAACAAATATAACTGCTCACTTTGGTTTTGGCGTGGACAATATCTTGGAGTTTATACGGATACAGAGAGTTGGACCTCCATGTAATGGATTTCACAGCATAATTAGCAGCATCTTTGACATTGGGATTGTGATTTGGAACTTTATGCCATCCTAATTTGTGTCCCTCTGAATTAAAATTGGTACAATTTCTCATTAACAACCATTGAAATTTTAAATTTAAAAGAAATTAAAGATAATATCCTTTCGAAGCAACAACTCGGGTAGCAAAATCAGTATAAGCAAGTAAAAAACCAGCGTGGTTCAACTTGGATATTATAAACACACATCAGGGAGCCTTTTTTGTTAAATAACCTGTGCGGTTCAACTTGAAAGTTTAGGAAGGGGGAGGGAGTATCGGCTCCTAAGAATATTACAGTTGCAAAATAATGGTTATTAAGATGAAGAATGAAAACAAACAAATTTCACTAGATAGATAACCATCTATGAACACCCATATCAATATAAGGTACAAACCAACTACCATTGGCTTGTTATATAGCCAAAGAGCCACATATATCTGATCCATACTGCATCGAAAGTGCAAGAAAGATAACAGGGAGAAATTATGGTACTCCATAGTTTCTTATCTACAATCAATAAGAGCTATGGCTTTGCTCATGAACATCATAAAGAAAAAGCAGAGAGGAAGTGGCAGAGACAGGTAAGGCCATCAACCCAATTTCATAGTTTTCTTAGTGGCAGAGTGATAGGGACTTGGGTATTATCGAGTTTCACATTGGGTAATATCGAGGCTCACATCATGTCCCGAAAGGGTAGAGTAAAATGTCGTAGAGTGCAACCAGTAATCACTGCGACATCAGCTCTTAGGGGAAATGTGTGATAGGAACAATTCTTTCCACTCCATCCTTTCTTTTTTTTCAAAACCCTCCCCTCCCTTACCCTCCAAACTCCCAAACACAGCTCAAGGAAAACATATAAAACCAAATTTGCTACCAATTTGTCTTGATCCCTAAACTGATCCCTTTTGTTATTTGCTAATTAAAAGGACTTATAAATTCAACCCTAAAGTTTGGAGACAGGATGCAACAAAGGGCTGAGAAAAGAAATACTAAAAATGGAAATTCATGAGTCGATATAAGCAGAAGATCACCTTGCTTAACACCGCGATCAGAACTCGTAAAGGGAGAGATGACTCGAGCAAGTTTGAATTCTTGCAACTGCTTGAAGTTCCTCCATGGCTTCACCCAAATTTTGGCTTCATATACCCTCCTCTTTCCGGCATCAACTGCTTCAAGGGTAAGAGAATATACTTTCCCTGCTACAACCTGTTCTTTGGCTTTCAACACCTTTACATGTTCAAGAAGCGCATTCTGCATAGAACAAATACATCTATAAATAAACTTTGATTTAACAATTGCTTGAATTTCAATCTCTTCTGAACCCAAAAGGGAATTTAATCTATTTTTGAATGCTCTATTAAATTAACATAACCTAGTTTACAAAATCCAAATCAACGAATCATTATCAAACCCAAAAGCCACATATTTCAACCATCTAATATAGTAACAAATTGAAATCAAGGATTAAAACCAGATAAAAAGGAAAAAGAAAAAAACCTCTTTGTTGTTACGTTGTTGAACAGCGAAACGGGCGAGGCTTTCGATTTCAGCAAAATCATTGGGAGATTCCTCGCCTGCTCCCATTTTGTTGATCTTGATGCTGTTGTTGTCATGTTGTTGCGTGCAGAAACCTAAGTCATAGAGACCAAAAAGTGTAAGAAAAATGGCAACGAAGATCACGTGGAACTTCATCATCTTCATTCACTATTCTCACTCGGAAACAAAACAAGCAATCGCTTGTTATTTTGGCTTTGTGATTTGAATGTTAGTTTTTATTTCTGGTTAAAAGAAGGAAATCCAACCCACACACAAATTATTTATACTACGCACATTCGCGTCTGTCCACTTTTTTAACATGTGTAAAAATTTAAATGATAATTCGGAGGTACATCTCCAAAATCTTATCAAAACAAGTTTTTAAAATAAATATCAAGTTTTGTTGGTTGCCGATGGAAATTAACTATTATATATATATATATATATATATATATATATATATATATATATATATATATATATATATATATATATATATATATATATATATATATATATAAAAGAAATAATATGTGATAATCATCATCAAAAATTAGTACATCAATCTCATCAAAATATAGTACATCTAAAAAACATCACAGTCACTACTGTGTGTGCCTTACAACATCTGCATTCCCTCCTCCGCCTATGCCTCTGCCGCCTCGTCTGCCTCTCCCGCCTCCTCTCCCGCCCGGTCTGCGTCCTCGGCCATCGATTCCATCCGTCCTGGCGTGATACCTGCGGTACATAAGTGCTTCTGCTGTCACCGCAATCATGTCATCTAATACACGCTTGTGGTCAGACCCCTCAAGGAAGAAATCGCCGACAATGTCTGCCCGCCCCATCTCCACTATCAAACGACAGCGAGCCAGAACATCCTGAGTGTGGTCCAACTAAGACTAGTGCTCCTCTAAGATCTCCTGATGAGCGGTCTGGGCGGTGATCCTTCGGCAGCGGGCATCATGTAGAGGTGTGAGACGGTGAAGAACCACATTGTAAGTGCTCTTGATTGGCTGCATTTTGTGGAAAAACATTAGTGTATGTATGTCATGACTGGTGTTATTACATACATAATGTAGATTTTGCAGGGTAAGTTAACTTAGCTAAATGTTAGTTAAGTTGAATGTCATACAGAATGTCATGACTCTGATCGTATGACATCCAGCGAGCAGATTAGTTTTTCTGGTAGCTAGAAATCAGAAAACTTGTTAGAAGCTCAAGCTGAAAGACAGGAGACATTTTAGAAACCCTAAAGCGAAACAAATGCTCCTGAATTAAACGACAAGCGTGCAGATTATTGAAGAAAGGTTTTGTTATGGTTAAACCTAATTTATGCATCCAGGCCCAAGGACTGACTGTTCCTATAAATAACGGAAGGAGCAATCCTAGAAGAGCAGCTTTTGACAGAAGATTAGAGAGTGTGCATAGAGAGTCCTTGTGAGTGAAGAAGATTGTTCTTCACGTTTGTATTGTGGCTTAGGAATACTTGTTCACTAAGCAATTGTCTGCTGTAGAATTGCATTGGTTAGGTAGTTTCTAAGTTGGTGTAACACTCAAAGCTGTTAAGCAAAAGTGGTGTGTTCTTGATCAAAGCTGTAAAGCACGATCAAGGTGTATTTGAAGTATAACTTCAACAGTCATTAGTAATTGTGTATTGATATTATTGTGGTGTGATTGAGGGGGAGTGAGTGAGAATACTCAGATCTAGTGTGTTCTAGGCTGAAGTGTCATTGGGTAGGTTTTAAGTGAAGAGTGTAAACTGGAGGTTTAACTCTGAATTAATTCTGCTGATAGTGAATTTCCTCCCTGGTTTGGTAGCCCCCAGATGTAAGTGTTGTTGACATTGAACTGGGTAAATAATTACTGTGTTATTTACTGCTTTCTCTTTGCAGCATTTTAATTACTCCAACAGTCTGTGTTACAGTGGATGTTATAACATCCGTGATAACATCCATCGTGTACTTGCCAGAATTTCAATTGGCATCAGAGCAGGCACCCTGCCTGTTATATCTGGGTGAGATCTAGGGAAGATAAATTTTGGTACTTGTTAGCTCCTAAATTCGAAGCCTCTTGCAAAATAAAGGAATTTAAGAAGAAATGCCAAAAAAACAAGTTGAAAAAGCGAAAGTTGGTCGAAAGGCGTAAGGCAGGAAGGAGTCGAAGAACTCACCAAGATTAAAGAGAAACAAGGACTTCGATCGTTTCTGCTGTTGGTGGTTTGTCGAAGGTTTGAAATTTAAAGGTTTTTGGAGGGAACGGTTTCGTTTGCCAAATGCTTAAGAGGACACATGGCACCTTATGAGCAGTAGATCCATGCATTGTGACAAGTGGCGAGAGGTGGTGATGTTGGAGGTTATTAGAAGTTATTTTTTACTATTATAAATAGGATGTCTTAGACATGAACAAAGTGTGTTGTAATTTACCATTGTACAAATTACTCTTAGAATTACTCCAAGTATCCGAGCGTAGAGAAAGCGAGTATTATAGAGAATGTACGTGATGTAAACAGACCATCTTTTATCTCAATGAAATTTACTTTACTTGCTTTAAACTTTACAAAGTCTTTTACTTTCTTTGCACCCTTCTTCCTTACTTTCTTTCTTTCTTCTCTTTCTATGCAATTCATTTCTCTTCGTCCTTAATCTAATCTTCCCTCTCCAAACAAACTTCTTTCTTTCTTTTACTAAAAGCTTTATTTTACCTTTTAAATTATTCCGTAGTCGAACAAAGTGTTTCTTTAGATCCTTTTACCCCAATACTGCCTAAGTGTGAAACTTAGATAGATTTCCAAAATAAAGAGCCTTTAGCACATGTCCTAGGATCAATCTGATTGATCCTGTGAGTCACCAAAGTTAAATTTAGAAGATCAGCGGTTGTTTTCTGGTTTTCAAGGGAAACAAAATGGCACGCCCAGTGGGACAGTGCTAAAAATCGTTTTGACAAAACTAAATTTACAAAAAATTTGCAGTCGCATTGGTCCTTTTCGTGAGAAGTGCATTTTATGTTACTGAGAAGTGGTAAAGTTACCGCTGTAAACGAAGAAAGACGACGAAGACGAAACATTAGGAACATGGCTACGGATACGAACCAGCCAGATAACCCCAACCGTCAGGGAGACGGTTCCAGTGAGGTAATAAGAGACGATGGAGATCTCCCTCCGATACCGTCGACCGGAGAACAAACGGTGCTTCCTGTGAGGCCAGTACCGACACCCTCCGTACTTGGGACTGGATCGACGGTGATAAGACCTTATAGTCAACCAGTGTTGGAATATATTGGCCATCAAACGTCAAATCCTCAAATATTGTTAGGGGGAAGTTTGACTTCCAGGCAGTTCGTTCCCCTTGGGTTTTCGCAGTCACCAAGAAATCCCCCATATGGGATGCCCACCGCTATGATGCAAAGGCTCTAAAGTGCGCCCCCCCATATTCTCAGATCATGCAATGGCTTCGCCATTACAAGGGCCAGGGTCTGGTGTGAACATGGGTCGAAATCCCCAAAGCCAGAGCTTAGGGTATTCGACGCAAGGCCCCAATTTGACCAACACCTCAGTTGCCTATTTGAGACAGCAGATGGATGAAAGTAACCTACAAATGGTTCAGACCTTATCACAAACCATGGGTGAAATCTTTCAACCATTAATCGAAAATACAACTCAGACCAATCAACAATTGGCAGTACAACTGACAAGATTGGCTGAATTCATGGGGGTACCCCCCTTAGCCAGAAATCAGGCTCCAATAGCGGATATCCCACGAGAAAACTTGGGAAATACGGCAGAAATCGACATAGGGAACCAAGGGAGGATAGTCCCTCCCGCAGTTGAAGTGCTTAGGGAAGAGCCATTGCGAAATCAGCCCCGTGTCCTGGGAGAAAGAGACCCAGGAGTGGTTATCGTGAATTGAAACCAGGACGCGGACAATGTAGTCCAACAGGTTCGACGAAATAACATGGTCGTCGATAACAATCTAGCAGCCATGGTCGAGAGAATTATGGCCAGAAATGGTTTGAACACTGGGTTCACCAGGCCAAATTACACTTCACCTATAGTAGACTATATCCTTCAGGCGGAGTTACCCCCTAGGACGAAAGTGCCCAAGTTTACTAAGTTTTCAGGAGATACTACAGAGTCCACCGTCGAACACGTGGCCCATTATCTAATCGAGGCTGGAGAGATAGCGAATGATGAAAGCCTTAGAATAAAATACTTCCCAAGTTCTCTTACTAAGAATGCCTTCACTTGGTTCACAACGCTACCCCCTAGCACGGTGTGCAATTGGACCCAGTTAGAGCGTTTATTCCATGAACAGTTCTATATGGGCCAGACTAAGATTAGCTTAAAAAAACTCGCTAGTGTGAAGCGCAAGTTCTCTGAGCCAATTGAAGAATACCTTAATAGATTCTGTTTGCTTAAGGCCAGATGCTTCACACAGGTCCCTGAACATGAGTTGGTCGAAATGGCCGCTGGGGGCCTCGACTATTCCATTAGGAAGAAGTTGGATACCCAGTATCTAAGGGACATGGCCCAACTAGCCGATCGAGTTCGACAACTAGAAAAACTCAAAGACGAGAAGGCTAAGTTTAATAAGAATAAGAAGGTAGCTTTTGTCAAATATAATGAGAATATCGAAGGGTTGTGCGATGATCCTGTGTGCTTCGACGATGGCGAAGTGGATCTTGCTGAACTCAAACAAGGACCACCTTACTCATGTAAAGTACTAGCTCTCCCGCATGGGAAGAGTTATGTCAAATCCGAAAAGAACGATAGGTTCCCAAAGAAACCATATACTTTCGACATCACAAAATATGATGAAATCTTCGATTTGTTAGTCAAAGACGGACAAATGATAGTGCCACTTGGTGCTAAAATGTCGTCCATAGAACAAAGGAAGAAAAGAGGGTTTTGTAAATACCATAATTTTCTGGGTCATAAAACGTCTCAATGTTTTATTTTTAGGGACCTTGTTCAAAATGCAATTCAGGAAGGATGTCTGAAGTTTGGAGAGAAGGCTAGCGGCCAGATGAAGGTCGACACAGATCCTTTGCAAATGGCGGACGCACATTATACAAAACCAGTGGAAGCCAACATGGTCGAAGTTACTGATGGCTGCGACTTTTCAACCAACATGGTCGAAGCTACTTATGGCTGCGATCTTTCAATCGAC